TCTATATATATATATATAGGTGAAAAATTAAAGCTTCCGCTTTTTGTTGGGTACTTCGACAAGATTTAAGCAAAGAGGACTCTTTATACTTTTTTAATTCTCTCTAGCTTTCAATGGACTTTGCCATCATCATCAGGAGCTGCAATTACAATGATAACAGTAGCAACAAAGGTGTAAAATGAATTTAAATTGACTCAACTTACAGTAGTATGTGAGAATGTTGCTAATTGTTGTTTACGCATATGATGAGGGAAACGTCCAGTAACATGGTGAGAGCTGAATAGGTTGCACAATAGTCAAAATTTATACAAAACATGACAAGAACACGTTAAAACAGATTAAAAATTATTTTAAAAATTAGAACATTACATCGTGAAACCACCTGATGATTGCACAAATTAGTGGTCATGGAATGATGAATTGATGAGTGACATGAAACCCTTTGACAGAAGGCCGAAGGATGTCAATGTCAGTATTGAAAGATGGAACGAATTGTGGGCGTGTGCCAAAAACGTTGCCAAATCACTTCAGATGAAGAGATTTACAGAATTTTATGATGGAATTTGTTAAACCGACCAGAGGCAGTTGAATAAACTATATTATTATTAATGGGAATTTAAATTAACAATTATTAATAAATCGTGAGGAGAGAATTATTGTATTTTGAGTGGAATGAAATTTACTGGTGGAAACGGACAAAACACAGATTCTAATTATGGTTGTGAAGAGTTGAAATTTGGGGAGATATGTAAGTTCTCCAATTTTTCGCAGTTTAGCAGATATGAGTAAATGACACTCAGTTGTTTAACATCTGTCTTTTTGTTGATACAGTTGTTATTCATGAAAATGTGGGACATTTCCAGGAATAAACGTTTGGAAAGGTGTTTTTCTTTATCAAGAACTTTGATACTTGTGTAATTCATAGAATGCCCTGTTGTGTTAACATGAGATGCTAGAGCGCATCTTTCAGGATGAAGCCTAGCATCACTTTTGTGTGATGTAATCCTTCCTTTAAGAGATCTGGAGGTCTGACCTATGTATATTTGGTTGCAGTTGTTGCAATTGATGGAGTAGACTGTGTTGGTTAAGCCAAGCAGCGGGACTTTGTCTTTCATTTTAGAAAAAATGCAGTTTATAGTGAGGACGGATTTGCAAGCAATTCGAAAGTTCAAAGGACTGCACAATCTGATAAGCTTAGGGGTCAGTTCCTTGATGTAGGGCAGGACAGCAAAACCAGGTCTGGAGTCCGGGTTGGTGCTAGTACTGTTAGGATTGATGTTATTATTGGGAATTACATCAGTTCCGTTATTGGGGGTTGTGCGACTATTACCTGCATCACCAGAGTTCGGCAAAATATTGGAAGGTGAACTAAAAATGATCTTGTTAATCAGACACTTCGGATAACCATTATTGATGAACAGTTTTGATAGTTTACGTAAATTTGAGGTTCATCAATAATGGTTATCCGAAGTGTCTGATTAACAAGATCATTTTTAGTTCACCTTCCAATATTTTGCCGAACTCTGGTGATGCAGGTAATAGTCGCACAACCCCCAATAACGGAACTGATGTAATTCCCAATAATAACATCAATCCTAACAGTACTAGCACCAACCCGGACTCCAGACCTGGTTTTGCTGTCCTGCCCTACATCAAGGAACTGACCCCTAAGCTTATCAGATTGTGCAGTCCTTTGAACTTTCGAATTGCTTGCAAATCCGTCCTCACTATAAACTGCATTTTTTCTAAAATGAAAGACAAAGTCCTGCTGCTTGGCTTAACCAACACAGTCTACTCCATCAATTGCAACAACTGCAACCAAATATACATAGGTCAGACCTCCAGATCTCTTAAAGGAAGGATTACATCACACAAAAGTGATGCTAGGCTTCATCCTGAAAGATGCGCTCTAGCATCTCATGTTAACACAACAGGGCATTCTATGAATTACACAAGTATCAAAGTTCTTGATAAAGAAAAACACCTTTCCAAACGTTTATTCCTGGAAATGTCCCACATTTTCATGAATAACAACTGTATCAACAAAAAGACAGATGTTAAACAACTGAGTGTCATTTACTCATATCTGCTAAACTGCGAAAAATTGGAGAACTTACATATCTCCCCAAATTTCAACTCTTCACAACCATAATTAGAATCTGTGTTTTGTCCGTTTCCACCAGTAAATTTCATTCCACTCAAAATACAATAATTCTCTCCTCACGATTTATTAATAATTGTTAATTTAAATTCCCATTAATAATAATATAGTTTATTCAACTGCCTCTGGTCGGTTTAACAAATTCCATCATAAAATTCTGTAAATCTCTTCATCTGAAGTGATTTGGCAACGTTTTTGGCACACGCCCACAATTCGTTCCATCTTTCAATACTGACATTGACATCCTTCGGCCTTCTGTCAAAGGGTTTCATGTCACTCATCAATTCATCATTCCATGACCACTAATTTGTGCAATCATCAGGTGGTTTCACGATGTAATGTTCTAATTTTTAAAATAATTTTTAATCTGTTTTAACGTGTTCTTGTCATGTTTTGTATAAATTTTGACTATTGTGCAACCTATTCAGCTCTCACCATGTTACTGGACGTTTCCCTCATCATATGCGTAAACAACAATTAGCAACATTCTCACATACTACTGTAAGTTGAGTCAATTTAAATTCATTTTACACCTTTGTTGCTACTGTTATCATTGTAATTGCAGCTCCTGATGATGATGGCAAAGTCCATTGAAAGCTAGAGAGAATTAAAAAAGTATAAAGAGTCCTCTTTGCTTAAATCTTGTCGAAGTACCCAACAAAAAGCGGAAGCTTTAATTTTTCACCTAACTGGTCTAGACGACAATGACCACGTCTCAAAAAAAAAAAAAAAAAAAAATATATATATATATATATATATATATATATATATCGAATACAGACATTGAAACTGCAATAGAGCTGTTAAATAATGATATGAAAAACGTAATAAATTAGTTAAATGTACATAAACTTAAACTAAACACAGACAAAACAAAATATATGCTAATAGGAAAATCTTTAGATCACAGTGCGATAAATCTTACAATTAATCATGAAACAATTCTGTCAATCGAGTCATTTAAATATTTGGGCATATACGTAGACAGTAAATTAAAATTTGAAGGGCACGATGAATATATTATTTCAAAAATATCCAAGAAAATAAATTACTTTTACATAATTTCGCATAGCCTAAGCGTTTATTCTGAAAAAACTGTGTACAACACTATCATTCTTCCTCATTTTTTATATTGTTCGACTATGTATTTTGTTCAGTGCAAATGAAACTGTATTTTCAAAATTACAAATATTACAAAATAAAGCTATGAGAATCATCTTAAATAAAAATAAATATACTAGAATAAATTTTATACTGAAATAACTACAATGGTTAAATATCAAAAATTTCATAGTCTACTTGGTTTTCATTTTCATATTCAAGTTAAAAAATAATCTTCTACTAAATCACTTAGAAAATTTTATTTGTATTGTACAATGAGTGCCACAATTATTCTACTAGAGGAAGTATAGACTTTCATTTCCAAAACTGCAGTAACAATATAACGAGCAAGTCAGTATTTCAAAAGGGATTTATACGAATTTAATAAATTAAGTAATATCAAGATGTGTATCAGTTTGAAAATGTTCAAAGGGAAATTGAAAAAATATCTCATGGAAAACCAGAGTTCATAGTAGTGAAATTTTGTATAAAAATATGTAGCCATAAAGACATAATATATTTTGTGATATACTGTGTAATAAGGATATTATGGATATTGTAGCCTTAATGCTAAATAACTCTGAAACAAACAAACAAGTATCTAAACTGTGGCAATCGATTGAACAAAAAGCCTACATTAGAAAATCATAGAAGCTTTGGATTCACAGTTTGGTTGAAATATCCTCAAAACGGCATATATCTATATTCTATGCCTAAATACATTGGCTTTTAAGTTTTCAAAAATTATACCAGCATAATGAAACTCTTTAAAACAGAATCCAGCTACGGCACTGTCTACCGTAGTGATCGCTAGATGGAAGTAGCGACTCGAGCAACTGCCCCGGATTCCAGATACTTTAGCATACACGATGCTGAGCGCTGTCGCCAAGCCTACTAAAATTTTATATGATTCAAATACACCTTCCTTGAGATCTTTTTTTGAGGACATCTCACTTGAATGCGAGTGGAGCTGTTAAATATCAAATACTTCCTTTATATGTCTAAAGCTTATATGCGCTTCTGAGAGTGAGTGCTCCTGTGACAAATGTAGAGCGGTGGAGGCGCACGACTCACGATTTTTAGGTCTAACACACAGGTTCCACACCACGCAATATACCTTGGAGTCCTATCGTTTATATAAATTTGGCAAACATTTTGTGTTATTGTATGGTTTTCAGTACGAGTCTTTGGTTCGATCGATTGTATCAGTCTTTTAATAGTGCGTGATCTTTCATTTGTCTATGATCGAAAAAATGACCCATGTTTACGAAAACAATGAACTAATGGGCATAATACTGACATTCGGAGAGTGCCAACAAGAAGGAGCCACAGCAAGCAGGTTGTATGCGGAAACGTTTCCTTTAAGAAATCATCCGGCCTCACGAATGTCTGCGGTTTTAATAATAATAATAAATAATCTTTATTTCAAAATAACAGTGCACAATTACAACGTTTTAATCGCATACATGAAAATCATCAAGGAATCACGTTTAGTTTCCAATAATTCGATGTTGGAAAATATTGTAGAGCAATTATGCACCCTATAGCCTATTTACTCCCCAATCATCTAGTTCTTATTTATTTTTGTATTTACGCAGCGACAAATATGTGATAGACCCTTCGATAAAAATCATTAGTAGAAAATTGAACTGGCAACATTGTTCCACTACGGACATCGAGTACGCATCGTGTATATGGAATCCGTGGCAGTATTGACTTTTCTGCGCTCAGTTCGCTGCCAAGTCTCGCCGGTAGAGGACGTCCCTTGTAACGATTTTTAGTCTTTCGCTACCTCTTGACAAGTTTGACATTTCCAGTAGAATTTTCGCAGATGTTGGTAAACAATGGCGAGCATAACGATTGAGAAAACAAAATACGAATGCGGCCAACCCCAACAACTCAACAAAAAGTGGCAGCGGGAGGACGTTTTGCGGAAAACGGGCCTGTGCGTGGGCAAAGTGGACGTGTATTACAGGAACGCGAGGAGCGATGGATGTCTCGTGCCCCCCATTCGACAGACGGCCAGCATTTTCAAGCAGCCGGTTACTGTTTATAAAACACAGGAAGGTAGGTACATTATGATTTCTCATGTACTAAACTTATGGCTCATATTCCAACTTAAGTTCCTTAAGGACGTGCTACATTTATTCCATGGGCATGTATTAACCAGTGTCAGCGGGGCCTCATTATAAAAAGTTCATTCACTAGTAATGAATTTATTACAAGAATTTTTGTATAATACACGTCTGTTAGGGTTAGGTAAACAGAAGATCAACATTTCTGAAAAATCCAATTAATAAAAAAAAAGGTAACAATGATTTGTTATGCACTCAGAAATACGTCTGGCCATACTCCTAATAGATGTGATAGTTTTCCTCTAGAGGTACCTCATCCCAAGTTATTTGTTCCTCGTTCTGCTCAAGTCTGTGGAGCATGAGTTAAATTGAAAATATCTTTCCTATAATGGGTTCAATGGATGATCTAGCGGCCAAGGCCTTCAAAGTCAACCAAAGTAATTGTGGCTATATGTGGTGGCGCATTATTTTGTTGAAAAAATGAGTTGGTGTACATCCATAATATGTTATCACATGCAGTTATCAACTGCATCTCATGTTGTCACCCTTGTATGACCAGCATGCATCTTCAAACAGAATCTGGATGCATCACTATATCCAATGGTATGGGGGTGAGATGGTAGGATAGATATATTATCTAAATCTCGCTGCCTGTAATAATACAAATAAAAAAGATGTTAATTATTATTATTAATTATTTGAGGTCCCAGTTCAGCATTCTCTGCACCCAGCCAGTCAATCAGTTCAGTGCCTAGGGGTGATAAATATGACAAACTGAGGATGGAATGAAGTAAGGCCAAAACTGTTGATTCGGTGATAAAGAATTCAACAACAAGTCAGCACCATATTTAGAATTCTGTGCTCCTGGTGGCTATTTATCTAAAGGACCAAAAAGCCTCACCATACCTACTATTCAACCTCTCAATCTAAGCTAAAGCTAAAATTTTCTCATCTTCTCGCTCTAGGCGTAATGAGCAGATTAAAGCATCTCTTCACAACATATTGTACAATGATCAAATGCCAAATGTAGGTACAGAACACAACTAGCTCACTTACTTTTTTTTGTAAGAACAGCTGATATCACAACAACGACTACAATATGATTTAAGGGTCGTATCGTCAGTCGGGACGCCTTTATCGCCTCCTTGATTTTCATAGTTTTCTTCTGTTCCGTGTCAGCATTCTATTTTGAGGTTATGTTATCAATATCTCTTTGCATCAAATTGTTCATGCCCTTTATTCGTAATGAGCAGATTAAAACAGCTCTTCACAACATATTGTACAATGATCAAATGCCAAATGTAGGTACAGAACACAACTAGCTCCCTTACTTTTTTTGTAAGAACAGCTTACATCACAAAAACGACTACAATATGATTTAAGGGTCGTATCGTCAGTCGGGACGCCTCTATCGCCTCCTTGATTTTCATAGTTTTCTTCTGTTCCGTGTCAGCATTCTATTTTGAGGTTATGTTATTAATATCTCTTTGCATCAAATTGTTCATGCTCTTTATTTATATCATCTGTTATATAGCCTGAAATTTCCTACAATGCTAAAAGAAAACAGCCTCACAACAGGAGAGCACTGGATGCTGAACAGAGAAGAGTATTTTGAAATGAAAATCAAGGAGGCCATAAAGGCGTCCTACAATTGTAGATACGACTGATGATATGGCCCTAAAAGCTAATAATTTTTTGTTCTAACCTAAACAAACATATACCTATTATTACTGGGTGTTCTTTTCTCTATGTCACTCACTATACTTCCTGTAACACAGTAATAACCTGGGGTTGCCAGTGGTACTGTTTTCATAAGAAATAAAAATGTTAACAATCAATGTTAAACGATAACAGTTTTAGCGGGTTATTTTTCTGCGTGTTGCCAGGCCGAAAATTGCGACAAATATCGTATCAACATTTTTTTTCGCTCCGAAAAGTTTTAATAGTTTTTTTTTTTGGTCATTCTGAATGACAAACTCTTGTGAACAGTGAACAGTTTTCGAGATATAAACGATTTAATATTTCAAAAAGTGGAAAATGTACCATTTTCGATCCTGACAGACATTATGAGAAAACAAAAATTTCAATGTTGCCAACGTTCCCAAATTTTCTTCAAACATCCACAAAATCCCAAAGCATTTTGGGGCGTATTGTTAGTGTAAACATGTAAACCTTTGTGTTTTAATTGTTAATCAAGCGCGCGCTCAAGGTGTAGTCTATGTAAACGCCCTATAGCTGCAGTATCCAGCTGCATCTCTTTCGCACTCACGCAGAATAATAAACACAAATTACAATAACAGTGCCCTTAGCAATGTTATGAGATAGGACATTCGTTTTCTTTGCAGGTAAAGTAAAATCCGACCACAAAAATGGCAACCAAGAAAAACCAAAACAACTGATGTGGGAAAAACGGTTAGAAGGTTTAAGGGCATGTGATATAGATGGCCATGAATTTGAAGCAATGGAATTACCAAAAGGACTCAAACCTGTAGGGCCAAATGTAGATGAAGAAACTATCATAAGAAGTGTGGCCACGGCTTTACATGTTTCTACTCAGGTAGTTTTCAAGTTGTGCATCAATTTAGGCTTTTGTCAGGCATGACTGCAAATATTCATTTTTACCACTTCACCATATCGACTTATGTCAAAAGGTAGAAACATCCCCTGAGGGTTGGGCATTGCTATAATTAGTTTAATCATAAATTAGCTAATTCTACCTGATGATAGCCAACCATATACTATGTTCCAGAACAAAAATTGGATTTCTACTTTGAAAAGAGTTACATAATAGCGCCATGACCTTCAATCTCTTTTTGGCCTCTATAATGCCTATTTTCATTTGATATTTTCAAGTGCAATAGCCATTACAGGGGCCAAAATGGAATTGAAGTTCCTAACGCCATCTATGAGACAGTAGCTGAACGAAACACTTTAACTCTTTTTAAAGTATATTTCTAAACCCATTTTGTATTCTGCTACTATCGCATAGATAGCGCTAGAATCTTTTAGATCCCTTATTGGATGGTTATCTTCAAGGGAACTAGGTGTATCACTGGTTTAATGATGTGGTAAAATTGTAAAGTATTATCATTTTTTTGTTGGAGGTCAAATATATGTAGATGTTTTCTCCTTTTCAGCCTGTTACGGGCCAAACAGCCACCAAAACGTTACTAGAGAAGAATCCAGGCGTTTTTTTAGATCCTAAACAACCTCTGGTTCATGCAGTTAACATATCTGATGACGATATAAAAAAGCAAGAAGAAAGAGTGGCGTTAGCTCGAAAAAAACTGGAAGAAGCTCTGAACATGTGAAATGTGAGATGGAAACATCTATAAAGGAAACCAAATCATGACATGACTCCACTTTCAGATTCAAAGCTTGAGATATGACAGATGTTCTGTCTATTACATATATATCATCTGATGCAAAATTTATTTTAATAATAATATATTGCTATTAGTCCTGAAATTGTATATCAAGAATTATCTTCAACATTTTGCTCAAAGAGCGTTATGTAATTGTGACAATTTTGTTATGTAATTTTAAGTGTATTTAAAATACATATAACTATCTTATAAATTTCGTGTTTTCTTAATAAAGTACTAATTTTCTCTGCGGCAAAAATGAATTTGTCATCCGGGTAAACAGTTAATTATTTTAATAACAGGTATTATAGATGAATATTACGTAATGAAAAGATTGGAATTGCGGTAATTAATTTTTTTTACGAAGAACGGGGAACTTCAATAATCGATAATTAATTTTGAAATTTTTTGCAATCTTCACACTTTGTTAAAATCTTTGTGGAATACCTATTATTTATTTTTTGTTTAAGGTGCAAAAGAATAACAGATTCGAGAACCACGTATAAGGTGCCATTCTTTTACTTTACACACCATAGTTCATTGAAGTTTTTATTGAGAGGAAAATTAACAAACACAAAATATATTTTTATTCAATTCCGACGTGGGTTGGATTGGTTGCTTGAACTCCGAGGCGATCAATTTTTTGACCTCAAAAACTTAATCTTTTTTTAGATTTCCTACTATAACTACATAGGTTTAAAAAACAGCGTTTCTGTGATTTTAACCAAATCTCGTATAACGAATAAATCGGGTTCGTAGATTCTCAATCGTAAGTCAATTTATTTGCTAGGACCCATAAACGGTATCACAAGGAATTGATTTATATCGAGGCAGAAGCCTATATAATGGTGCACCCCGACGGCTATAAGGGGCTTAGAGACACTTTGTTATTCCCATTTTTGATAGTAGAACTGAAAAAAAGCCTTCTCACGCTGATTGTTCCACAATCTCTACAGGCTAGGAACAAAGAAGCGGTCATACCTACCAGTTGTGGATACTACCATAGAGTAGAGCTGAGGAGCAAAGCTCGTTGTCATATCGGTAAAAGAGAGCCAGATCGCTTATCGATTATTCAGTCAGCCCTCCTATGAACAACATCGAGCATAAATAATATATGGTCCGCGCGCAGCACCTCAAAGTCCTATCTATCCCTACACCTACATTTTTCCCAGCAGCTGCCCCGATAATGTTTGTGTCAGAGCAAGTCCTCGCTGATGTGGACTCCGACCATCAGCCGAAATGAACAGCTCTTTGGTGGAGCTAGGCCATCCTCCGAATCCGCTGAGCGCTAGTGCGCTGCTTGTCAATCAGGGTGCAGTACTGTGTTTTGAAAGCACTGAACTGTACCAGATTGTTGCATCCCCAAGTGGTGATAACACCAGATTTCTCGTCAAAGAGGCAGTCTTTAGTCTTCTTCTCTACAATTCACTGTCACTCTGGATTCCTGCATGTAGAGTGCAAAGTCCCATACAATGGGAGACGTAAATGGAAATTTTGACATAGAAAGTCCTGTCATTTTCATACGAGACATTTTCCATTTTTAGTTTTTCAATTATCTCTTTCCACTGACTTTATGCTCAAGCATAGTTTGTGTCTAATATCATTGATTGACGTATTCTATAACGAGATACTTAACCATACATTGTATTTCGGCGTTCAACAAGGATTTTTGGATATATAAGCGCCACCTATGAGACAGTAACAAAACATAAAAATGAATTTAGAAACCTACTTTGAAAAGAGTTACAGAGTTTGGTTGTGCTACAGCATATTAGATGGTGATAGGATCTTCAATCTGTCTTTCTCACCTCTCTAATGCCTATTTTATTTGAGCATTTTCAGGCATTAGTTGCGTTCGCTTTGCAAGTTAAGTAAGACAGTCAAGCAGACATGAAGCTGTCAAATTTGATGTCTTACTCACTTGTGAAAAAAATCTCGTTACATTTAAAGTGAGATTTGGTAAAACGAACGAGGAATAAATTGAGTAAACTGAAGTGAGGTGAACTTATCAAACACGCTAACTCTTTTCAAAGTAGATTTCTAAATGCATTCTGTCACTGACTCACAGATGGCATTAGTATCTTTCAGATCCCGTTTTGGACGCCGGAATACAGTATAAGGTTGGTGATCTGCAAGTGGAATACGTTAATCAATTGTAATATTGAACTTTGTAAGCACAGTAACCTGGAAACCTAGTATTATTCCGCCACCATATGTGTACATTTCATCGTTCATCAGGCATATATACAATTAACTGTACTGCGACGCAATATCTTTTACCGCCCGTTTAAGCACTTCGTACGTAACAATGGTCTCCTACCAAACGGCAGCCTTTCATCCTTGTGACATAATTATTAACCCGTTGCCATTGCAAGTCCACTGGCAGCCGCTCGTTGAGAAGAACAGGTGTCAAAACCATCTGCTGTCTGTTGCATACTGCCGGTCGGCACTGTCGGCAGTGGCTTGGCTATCAGTCCGTGAATATACGCAGCACGGTATTATTATGGGTTTGTATTCGGTTACCAGTTAGGCACATGATAAATGTACAAGAGGTGTCCGAAAAATTCTTACCAAATCAGCAGCCCTGAATGATCTGAATGATCTCTCCTTGGACTAATAATGCTTTTGAGTGACGTTCATGGAAGGATCTGACATTTGCATTTCACAGTAGGCTCTGAAAATTGTCATTACATTTTTCTTGGCCGGCCGTATCTATTTAGCATCCTGATGATAAATAGCAATAGAGAGTGTTTGCTCTCTTAATTATGCAGTGCTCGACAGATCTTGAACCTTTTAGATACCAAGATGCCCATGTGTACGAGAGAGAGAGAGAGGAAGAAGCGCGTTAGAAAGAGTGCGTCATATAAGCGTCGTGACTACGTTGCCTGGCAACGACAGTGGGGGAGGAGTTGCAGATTTTGGCCAGCACTGTATAATGCCCGTTTTACATAGACAATAAATCCACATATTTTTCCATGAGTTGAGTTTATGGCCAAGTGTAAAACAGGAATTTTACGTCAAATAAATTCACGAATGTCCATCTAAAGGCAATGTCTCCTAAGAAATCTTCTTTTATATTTGTTTATTCATTTTTTACATTGTGTTTTACGGGTAAATAATAATAATGCCTATCATTTATAATGAAAATAACAAGGTAAATAGAACATGCAAAAAATTATGAGACAACACTAAATAGAAGTAGAAGGGTGCCGATTGAACAACTATGCAAACGAACGAAATGTTTATGAAGTTCGTTTTGGTAAAGCTATTTCCTAGCGAACAATAACATGATATTTTTCTTCCCCGGAAAACTTCTTTGAGTTCACTATATTCATCAAAATGAAAAATGTTTGATCAAGTTACAGATTGTGAGAAAAATATTTGAAAACGTTCAAACTGTATATTTCGCTCAAATTGTCAAACATCCACAACAAGCAATGTCAAGGATTGCAAAGTTGGTTGCCTATAAGTCGCTTAAATGGGGGCAAAGTAACTAACAAAATGACGCTTAAAAAGTTTCGAAATTCAAAGTGTTTCCGGATACAGACGGAAAGAACGAATTTTCCTAAAATCCTTTAGCTGTTTTCCTGACGTATATATAAATATATATATATGTAGTGAAATTGTCACTTTTTCTTCCTTACAAGATAACATAATTAGAGTTTCAATATGACGTTTCGTCTCTTGTCGGCCAGCATCAACTTTATTTTTTCTTATAGATGCTACATTGGATTCTTGCAGAGAGAGAGAGAATAGAGTTTTTAATTCCGATTTCAAAAATGCATAATGTCATACACTGACATTGCAAAATCTTATTATTTAAAAAAAACAGAATTTCCCTTGAAATTATGAGATACTTAGAAAGACTATATAATGTAATGAAACTAACGCCAACTACAGAGAATACCTACTGCTACAACCAATACAAAAATAAATGTATAGAGCTTGTAAGGCAAACCAAACGAAAACATTACCTAAATAAATTGAATAATAACTTAAATGATCCTAAGCGGTTTTGGACAACTATTGATGAGATTACTGGGAAAACAAAATTTAAAGAGTGTGTCACTGAGTTAAATACAACATCAGGAACAGTATTAAAAAATACTCAACAGATATGCGATGAATTTGTACAATTCTTTACTGACATAGGCGAAAATTTAGCAAGTTATATACAAGCAAATGTACAAAATGCTCAGCCTCCAAAAAGAACTTTGAACTCATTTATTTTGGATAAAGTCGAGCAATGTGAAGTATACACCACTGTTATGTCCTTAAAAAATCGGAAAAGTCCTGGGTTCGATGGTATTAAAAGCGAGCATTTGAAAATTATAGCCGAGGACATAACAAAACCACTCACTTACCTAATCAACAAATGCTTTGAATCTGGCATATATCCCTCAATTTTAAAAAAGGTAATATAATACCGATACATAAATCAGGAACAAAAACAGATGTTAACAACTATAGACCAATATCAATAATATCCAGTGTAGCAAAGGTTTTTGAAAAAGTTTTATCTACTAGAATGATTCGATACCTCACAAAATTCAAAATTTTAAGTGAAAATCAATATGGATTTACAGAAGGGAAGGCTACATCGGACGCAATAACTAAAATTGTAAATCAAATACATCAAAATATTGATAACAGAATCCCTTCAATCTGCATTTTTGTTGACTTAAAGAAAGCTTTCGACACAGTTAATCACAAATTATTATCAGAAGCATTGGAGAGAATTGGTTTCAGAGGAAACGCGTACTCACTGATCGAAAGTTATTTGTCAAATCGCCCACAATCTGTGCAGATATCAGGATCATTTAGTAAAGAAATGTATATTAAGTGTGGTGTCCCACAAGGAACTGTCTTAGGTCCGCTGTTATTCAATATATATTTAAATGATATTTTCCAAATTAAGTGTGTTGGCAAAATAACTAGTTTTGGAGATGATACTGCAATATTATATGAAGGCACTGACTGGTCTGATCTGAAAAATGTAATTGAAAATGATTTTATCAAAATTATTCGGTGGTTTAATAGTAGAAAATTAAGCATTAACTACTCTAAAACACATTTTTTACCATTTGGATCTTATGCTAGACATCTGCCAAATTACACAAATTTCTCCTTCAATATTAATGATCAAAAAATGCAAATTAATAGAGTGCCCAACATCAAATACCTTGGA